GTGGATCCACAGGTTGCCATGGACACAAAAGTCCATTTACTCTAGTAGTGCTTTCTAGCAGCTAAACACAAGTATAAGCAATTAAGGAGAAAACACAGCTATTTTTATAATGTTCCATGAGGTTTATATAATTAGATCTTTCAACTGCAAACCACCGCTGGTGGCCTTTTTCTCAACTGTTCATAAAAACCCAGTTGGCTGATGAGGCCATTTTTAGAACTGCTTGTGCTGTCTCTGCCTCTCTGCAATAATTTGGGATCAAGTGACTACTAGCACTTCACGCATGACAATTTCCACAATCCAGAACTCTCATTTCAGGTTATGGTAGTACAGCTAGCAGCTGGTATGGCGGGTCTGAGAGGAGCACATGCACAGCTATGTCTTAGACCATAAGGCAAGCCAAAACCCTAGGCACACAGCCCTGTGCGGGAGCCTCGATCGTCCTGTCTCAGAAAATGACCTCATCCTCTAATGTATGCATGAAGGACTAAAGCAGTCTCTCCACTTGCAGGAGAGTCAGAAGAGCAGCTTGTCTTTGTACAGGCAAGGCTGAAAGCGGGGAAACTTCCACCAACAAAAGGGGCACATGTGTGTGGTGGGAGATTCCATCTTTAAAACGTCATGTTGGAAGGGTCGGTCCTGCCTCTCTCTGTTGGTGTTGTAGTGGTCTCCTTCCAGAGTTCTTGTGTCCGGCATTCCCTTGAAAAAGAAGCAAAGTTGAAGTTCTAACATCTGGCGTGCCATTAAGTAGGAAGGTCCTGGCAGCATGCCTCAGCCAGCTGCAACGGGAGCCAGCTCTTGCACTGAAGTGAGCAAGAGTTGGAAGAAACTGGTTTTGCTGTAACCAGCAGAGAAGTCTGGGTGGACTTCTTCAGTCTCTGGACTGTTTCCATTAATATTTTTACTGGGAGCTCATCCTGATAAACCTCCTTGTTCTGTCCTGGAATTCAGAGAACATCCCACTGCTGTGTTTTACTGAAAAATAACAAGTTTAAAGACATTTCAGTGTCCATGGACACTCTCGTAGAACCTGGATGCTGGGGTCAAATATACATCATCTGGATGGAGAGATCCATCCATCCACAAATCAAAAGTTTATTTCAATGGCTGTAGTACAAAGAAACCATCAACATCTTTGCAGGTTTTTTTTCAGTCTTAAAAACTATTGTGCGAGAAGGTCAATGCGGGGCATCGCTATTTTTTGTTTCATGGGGACTGCATATAAAACAGACAATATTTGTGCAGAGTAGTCTGTGGTTTTCTTTGTACCAACCCAGCAAACTGTATTCATGAGGTTCCAGCTGGTCATTCATCATTACCAGCAAGAAAAATTCTGCCTTCCCATCAGGGTATTCCAAAGACACAGGGTGGCAGCGATGCGATTGAAAGGATGGTTTGGCCTACAGAGCTACAATTCCCCGTGAGCAGGGAGAAGAAACGAACCCAGTGTGATGCCCGAGTTACAGGCTGATTTGACAGAGCTTGAAGTAAAAAAAAAAATTTTTAAAAAAATCCATTTGTATATAAACTTGGTAATTTTTTTCAATATAATCAATAAGACAGGAGATTTTTCAAAGTAGAAATATGTCTTACATCTCACCCTTCAAATTACACTGGGCCTTTCTGTTTGATAAGGACGCACAGGACGTGGATTCTTTTCTCTGGATTTGGCTGCGCTACATAGAACTTTGAAGTGTCAGTGAAATCATTGCAATTTAAAAATATCTGAATAGAACATAAGATTGGTCTTTTAAATACCTGCACGGTCCAGCTTTTATCATATTCAGGATTGTGCTAGAGTCCGTAAGAATCATCATCAGGACATTAATCTTTGTTTTTAAAGGAGAGAAACATTCAGTATTATAAAATTTGTAAAATCTGTAGCACTAACAGATCTTCAGATCAACCTACACTGAAATTTTGCTTCGAAAAATGCAAATAATATGCCCCCCCCCAGCTTCATACAATCAATCCACAGAATCCGATTACTGTTTATTTTGAAAGCACTGCTGTGAAAGGGTAGGCTTGATAGCTGCTATCGCTGTCGGCAAGAAGGGAGGCAGGGACTGCCTTCTTAATGAGTGTTTGTACAGTAACCAGCACTGTGGGGTGCCGATAGTAATAATAATAATTCTTGATTTGAGATTTCAAACATCCCTGTAACATCAGACGGACCGCTCTGACTGCTGCACAACCAGGGGCTTCAGCTGCGGTAGGAAACCCTTGGAATACTCCAGGGATACTTCCGAATCGTATTTAACTAACCCAGTCAGGGCACGGGTATTTGCACTTCCTGCGTTTCTCTCGTATTGCCACCGTATTGCTTTTAAACCAGAGGTGATACTGGAAGATGGGTTACTTCACAGCGTACTTGCCTGAGAAACCAAGCCGCACACCGCAGACACACTCAGTGCTGGACCCAGCAACGGGCAGGAACATGAGCCCGGGCCCACGCAGAGCCTCCCTGGGGCCTGAGCCCTCTGCTCCAGCACCCTCCCTGCTTTGCTTCAAGGACCTCCCGAGCGCTGGGACTTCTTTTGGGGTAGCAGCCTCGAGGCCATGACTTCCATGTCCCTCCTTGCACAGCGCGAAGCCACCACGAGTCGGTGTGACCCCGGCCATGCCGCCGAGGCCCCAACCCACCCAGTCCCTACCACCACACCCTGGGGAGGACCTGGGGGCTGCGAGGAAGGGAGAAGAAGGGGTTGGGGTGTCCCTCAGCCAACTCTCTGCCCACGGGAACCCTTATAGAATTATAGAATCATAGAATTATAGAATCATAGAATGGTTTGGGTTGGAAGGGACCTGAAAGATCATCTGGTTCCAAACCCCCTGCCTTGAGCATTCTTCCTAATATCTAATCTAAATCTGCCCTCTTTTAGTTTAGAGCCATTCCGCCTTGTCCTATCACTACACACCCTTGTGAAAAGCCCCTTTCCATCCTTCCTGTCGGCCCGTTCAGGTACCGGTAGGCTGCTCTAAGGTCACCCCGGAGCCTTGTCTTCTCCAGGCTGAACAGCCCCAACTCACTCAGTCTGTCCTTGTAGGAGAGGTACTCCAGCCCTCCAGCCTCCTTCGTGGCCCTCCTCTGGACCCGCTCCAACACATCTGTGTCCTTCCTATGTTGGGGACTCCAGAGCTGGATGCAGGACTCCAGGTGGGGTCTCACGAGAGCGGAGTAAAAGGGCAGAATCACATCCCTCAACCTGCTGGCCACGCTTGTCTTGATGCAGCCCAGGATACGGTTGGCTTTCTGAACTGCAAGCACACATTGCTGGCTCATGTTCAGTTTCTCATCCACCAGTACCCCCAAGTCCTTCTGCTCAGGTCTGTTCTCGAGCTATTCTCCGCCCAACCTGTACTTGTGTTTGCGATTGCCCCGACCCACATGCAGGACCTTGCACCTGGTGTTGTTGAACTTCATGGGGTTCACACAGGTCCATCTCCCCAGCCTGTGAAGGTCCCTCTGAATGGCATCCCTTCCCTCCAGCGTGTCAACCACACCACACAGCTTGGTGTCTTCAGCAAACTTGCTGAGGGTGCACTCAGTCCCACTGTCCATGTCGCCGACAAAGATATTGAACAGCACCGGCCCCAGTACCGACCCCTGAGGCACACCACTCCTCACTGGTCTCCACCTGGACATGGAACCCTTCACCCCCTTCACCGCACACCGGGCGCTACCGCCGGGGCCCGCGGGCAGCAGCGCTGCTCCCTC